TCAGGACGGTGTCTTGGATTCACACTGCAGTCATTTTCTTGAAGCGTAAGTAACGTCATTATCCGGTCCAGGACCATCCCGCTGACAACCATGGCTGTATAGTCATCTTCGCAACAGGTGTCCTCACAATCCCCAGCGCAATGTACACGCTCGGCGCCTTCCCCGGCGCCATCAACGTCCTCGGCTGGCAAGCCCTCAACACCTGGTGCGCCCTCGTCCAAGGCCAATTCCGGAACAACCACCCAGGCTGTCATTCCATCGCCGACATGGGCCAGTTAGTCGGTGGACGCATCGTCAAAGAGATCAGCGGCATTCTTTTCCTTGTTGCCTTCATCATCGTTGCTGCATCGGGTATAGTAGGTGTATCGACAGCACTCAACGCTCTGTCCAACCACTCCCTCTGCACAAACTACTTCTCTATCATCGCGGCGATTATGGTGGGAACGTGTGCGAGTGTGAGGAAGTTTGAGAAGATTGCTTGGGTTACGTGGGCGGGATTCATATCTGTTTTCGTCGCTGTATTCATCGTTGTGTAAGTTCATCCTCTTTTCCCAGCCCTCCAAATCACATATCTAACCCATCCCAACAGCGTCGGAGTAACAACTCTCGACCGACCCGCTGCAGCCCCCCAAACCGGGCCCTACGAGTTCGGCTACCACGTAATCGGCCACCCCACCTTCGCTGCAGGCATCACAGCTGCAAGCACAATCTTCTGTTCTGGCGCGGGTACCTCTGCCTTCCTACCCGTCATGTCCGAGATGCGCAACCCGCGCGAATTCAGCAAAGCCGTGAACTGGTGCATGGGCCTCGTTACCGCCGCGTACCTCTCCTTCAGTCTTGTCGTGTACAAGTGGTGCGGGAAATGGGTTGCGTCGCCTTCTCTCGGCAGCGCAGGGCCCATGGTGAAGAAAGTCGCATACGGCATTGGTCTCATTGGACTGTGTGTTAGTGGCGCGTTGTATGTGCATGTAAGTGCGAAGTACGTCTTCGTCCGTATACTGAGGAACTCGAAACATCTTCAGGCTAACTCGCCGATTCATTGGGGTACGTGGCTGGGATGTGTGGCTGGCATGACGGTTGTCAGTTTCCTCATCGCATCTGGGGTGCCGATCTTCAACTATCTGCTTAGTCTGGCGGGTAGTGTAGCGTTTGCGCCGCTGGCGCTGGGCCTGCCGGGGTGGCTTTGGATTTACGATCACCAGGAGTACTGGAGGGGCAAGTGGTGGCAGAAGCTTATGTACGTGCTACATGTCGTTTTGATCGGTATCTCGATCTTTTTGACCATCGGTGGCACGTACGGCGTTATTGTCCAGATCATGGACGCGTACAAGGATGGGTCGATCGATTCGGCCTTTTCGTGCGCGGACAACAGCAACTCTTCTTAGTGAAATACTCGTAGTTTGGTAGTTTGAGAGATACCCTTGGTCAACACGGTAATGAAGACGATCATGCAATTGCAAGTATATCTACATTTTGTTCCCTTCCGTCGATGGACTCTGGTATCTTCTTGGCGATGGTATAGATCGTAATGACCTGAACAGTCAGTTGTTGACGCCTCAAGCAATGTCTTGAGCGTTGTCAGTCCGCCAGGGCTTACACTGTTAGCATATGATGATGTGTGTTGAGAGATTGGCGTGCCTAGCCCCGATGACGGCCACTGGCATCGCAGGAAGCTTGTCGGTGCCTGTCAATCCCGCGATCGAGCAGGAAACGATACTCACAGTGTCGGTATAGAAGTCATGTTCTGAGTCTAGAGTTGAACGTCTCGCGTGGCCATTTCTGGATGTCGCATGCAAGGGACGCGTCGGTCGTATGCCCTCAACCAATCAAGACGTTTACTTTGGACGATGTCATCAAGACAAAATACCCGGCGACCCTACATGTTGCAACCCGTAAATTGAAGTTCTGTCTTCTTGAGGAACCCCGCGCTCTCATCATCAGCCAAAACAGTAGGATCGCCAGCCCTGTGTCGAATATCGGGCGGTGGAAGTGATTGGGTAGTTGAATGGCGAGGCAGAATTGGGTGCTTGTGGGATCTTCGGCCCCAGGCAAGCTTCAACGAAGCAATGACGCTAGCCGTTTCTCGCGAAAATGGATGACGAGACCTTGGGATGCCTACGATACGTAACAGGCAGTCGCATCCTGTGCACCTTCAACCCTGATGAGTTTGGATCTCATTCAATTCCTCTAAAATCACTACATCACTTGTTCTGTTTCCTAGAATGCTGGTGGGCATGCAGTCATGCCAGGGTATCTAGTTGTATACCTGCTACTACGCAGTCATTCCACTCAACTGTGACACAGTCTGAGTTCGGGATACGCCTCGTGTCCATGAATTACATGATGCCTCCAGGGCACCGCAACGTCGAACGCGTCAGCCACTCGCATGGCCGAGACAACGCAGCCTTCCAGAAGGACCATGCCGTCCCAGCACCAGCCGCCCACGAGCCACACATTATCCTCGCCATTCCTCCACTGCGGCACTGACTTGTCATCTGCATCGAATTTCGAGCGCTTATCAAAGATGGCATTGACGATGCGCTGGCTTTCCGGACTGCGAAGAACGCGCGTGAACCTGCTCCGCTGAGCAACATGTTTCTCATCGAGAGGAGTGCATGGGCAGGTGGTCACTACGACGCCACATGGTTGGACATGATGCGATTCGGTCGTGTGCGCGCCCGAGGTTGCCGTGTTGAGGTAAATGAGCTGCGCGCCTTTCTTGTCGATCTCTTTGGCGTCGCTCCCATGTAGGACTGCCCAATCCGTATGGACCACGCTTTCCACGACTGCAGTCGGTATGCGCTGCATGTGGTGTTGTAGGGGTCTGAAGATACGGCCGACGACGTCTGGGGCGACAGCGAGAATAACCTTGTCGAAGGATTCCGTTGTCTGAGCGTCCGACCCGCCCTGAGACCAGGATATCCGAACACCCTTTCCGGAGGGCTCTACGGCCGTGACGGTGGCTTCGAGAGTAACGTCGATACCTTTGACCAGGCGTTCCTGTACCCCTCCCACGCCATCTGAGACGGTATAGTGTGGTGCGCCGTGGCTCCTCCGCTTGTACTCGATGATGTCGCTGGCAGGAAAAGCGAGTAGGGACTCGTGGGGACAGGTGGATACGCTCGATAAGAGAGGGAGTAGGTAGTAGGTGACGAAATAGCTCGGGCAGTATGTGCGGTCCAGGTACTGCTGCATAGTCTCTCCTGCTCTAGGCTCGAAGAAGAAACAGCAGAGCGCGAACCACGAGTAGGCAAGTATCAGGTATAGCAACTGCATCAGGTACGAAGCCATGCCAACTCTGCTCGGTCGAGGCGCCATCTGGTGGAGATTCGATGCATGTGTGAAATACGACGTATCGCGGCCACCAATTGCTAATGCCTCGGGGCTCGCATCGCGGCATTTTGCGAATTCGAAGAGGAAGGGCTGGGAGTTGTACTCGATGCGCAGGTAATCGTATAGGGCCTTGAGGTTGTCGTAGTAGCCGCCCGCAAACGCGCGCATGGGCAGGTCCACGCGCGTTGAGGCTTCGGCGGCGGCGGCATCGGGGATGGAGATGGAGGCGGCGTCTAGGGAAAGCGATTTGCCCTAGAATTACTTTTGTGAGTGCAGTCGCAGACAGAGTGGGTGTTAGGCGACCTACTGACTCGAAGACCCTGACGGCATATCGCTGGCGAACATCGTGGAACAACAGGTTCGCGCTAACAAGTCCAGCAAGGCCCGACCCTATTATTGCGACCTTCTCGCGTGGTTGCTCCATGCTGAGAGAGTGGTGAGCAGCGGTGTGGACCTCTCGTGTTGTTATTTGTGAGGAAGGCATGACGTGCAAATCGTCGCACGTCCTCGGCTGCAGACCCACAGCGGTCTCAGAACAGACATCGTCCGTCTCTGCCCATACTGATGCGAAACATCAATTGGCGACGGCATCGTCACCGAGGCTAAGCTCGAACGGAGCCAATTGTCGGGAGGAACCTGTGCCCGTGCATCTACAACTTCCCACTGCCATGTAGATGAACATGGAGTATTGGAAGAACGACATTGAGCGAAGCTTGTCGCGACCTATTGAAGGTAATTCTTGCCGAGCCTAGGTTCTCAAGCAAAAACGGCCCAACGTCACGAAGTAGAGTTTTGGTCGACCCGGGCTTCGGATGCGGCGATCAAATCATCTATCTTCTCAGCAAGAAACCGGTGCGAGTGTGCAATGAGGACTGATGGGATGAAAGAGATGGCTGCACCACGTTCAATCATTACATTGGCATCACGAAAGATGCAGTGCAGGCTCGATACGCCTCGGAGCGAGTTGACGAGCTGAAGAGCACAACGAAGGCGGCGTCTCATAGGATGAGCGATGGTGAAAGACCCACGATATCACTCGTATGTGCCGACGCATCGAAGCCCAAGGTCTGAGACGAACAGCTGCAGACAAAACTGCAGCATGCGAAAGACGATACAGAAGAGCGTTGGATTTTAGCCCTAGACACAGCATATCACTTCGCCCTTCACGCCGGCCCATCATCGAACACGCTCGCTCGGAGCTATAGGCTAACTGGATGGCTTTCGACCTATGTCTCTCTCCTACCGCAACATGGACCCAGAAGATCACGCTCTGCCTCCTCACTCCACAAGGATAGCGCGAGCTGGATATCCCCACATTCGCTCTGCACGATCAGCTCGGATTCGGCAAAGCATCTCTGGCCGTCGACTTACGCAATACCACACCACTTCCCCATGTTCTCGAATGTTGTGGCAGCAGTCTTTGGAAGACCATACGGTTTTCTTGACTTTTCGACTTGATTGGTTCCAGTTTTGTGTATCGTGAAGATGATATCTGCACATCCGATCCGCCTGCTGTAGTTTAGGCCAGTCAGCCTGTATCGTGGGTAGCTCATCATCCAGAACTAACCACGCACGACGAAGGGTAGCAGCAGGCATCGTGAAACCCACTCGGCATTATGTCGAAGGTGTCGCTGATGACTGTCGGGTCCAGCGAAGCCTTAGGTTCCTACCTGCTGACTCTAACTCCTAGACACATATCGGGTAAGCGCGCCAATCAATCAGCCCTGGAGCCTGAACAACGCTGGAAGGCACCTACCTATATACATGCACGTAGCCCTACTGTGCTGCCCAATAGACCTATAGGAATCTGCGGTGTTCAGCCTCGTAATTCGCCCCGCGCTCTATTATGGTTGCGAAATGCCTCGCCGGGATGATTACCGTATCTACAACCGCTTTCTGAAGGACACTATCCGGACATCCACACTTCCCCAGCAAAGCGATAACGCATGGAGCATATCGTCCATCATCCGCATAGTCGATGGCAGAAGTTCACTTATCGGCAAGAGAAAAGGCATCGCCCCGAAGACGATCTCAGGCTGTGTAATCCGGGCCAGACAAGCAGCCAGGTAATTGAGAGGTTCTTATCACCCGAACGAGACAAGATTCACCTAGATCAGGTCGTTCCACGCCAACGGCAAATATTGAGAGACTTCTTGCGTGAAGTCATTCCAGCAGCCTCGCGCAGAATTTACCCCTACTTGCAAGACGTAGAGAGATACAGCAGCGACGATAGTATCGCGCTTCTAGATGATCGGCAAAACCATGAAGGATGCGAAAAGATCAGCGGAAAGCCCTGTAACGACTGCGTTATCTTCTCGAGATCAGTTTGCATTCCTGAGCTCTGTGCAAGGTTGCAGGAAAAGGTAAATTGATCCTCGCAACAGTAGTACGTAAACGTTCGCTCATGCTACGATAGAGAAGGACATTTAAGGCTGAAAAGCGGATAATGTACGATCGTCGACTTGACCATGTTCTACCAGCGCCACCACGTGTATTGACTTTCACAGATTCATACCCAACCTCACGTCTGCAGCAGCTGTATGTTTGGCAGCAACAGTCGCTGAGCGATCAGCGGTCACTCTCCGGGACTTCTTACACAGATATCTTAAACGGGAGGTTGTATTCAGCGCGACGACGGTACGTCCATCTACGCCATGCTCTCCATTTACTGACTGCTTAAGACTTGGGGCTTCTTCTTCGAGTTTCATATACCCTACCATGCAATGCGTCGCGGACCACTTACGGTCACCGAAGATCCAAGATTGATAGGTGACAAACGTCTCCGCAAGACAGAACCTCTACCACTTGGACATCATCCTAGCGACCAAGAAGATCTCTATTATCATGAGGCGCTGACGTCTTCTCTCTCATGGGGTGCTGATGAGTGGTTTTGGACGGAGCTATGTCTGGTAGACACATACTTTGGCTCCGAGGAAAAACACAAGTCCTACTTCACTGGGTGTCAGGAAGGAGATGGACTTGACCCCCCGTGTGGTGGTCGCATTCACATGACCGCTCCGCGTTTTGACCCAAGAGAGTATTTTCTTCTCAAGCTGAAGTTTCGGACTGAACAAGTAGTCACGGAGTACAGTACACTTATTGAAACCTTCAACAAGAGAATGGACGAATACGTAAGACGCCCAAATCTATTACAAACGACTATGACTAAGGATGTCTAAAGGCACAAACGATTAGACGCGTATTCGAAGACGACAACAAAAGAACAAATACAAGAACAATAAGCGACGTTATCGAAACGACACAGGTTTTCATCGACGCCTCGGCGTTATAGTCGACGCCTGGGAAACCTTCCATCGGACTGAGCTGTCGCTCTTCACTAGCTACATACCCGAAAGATCGCTGTGGCCAAATTATATCAACAGCATCATGCGAAACGTCGCAGAACTAGACCGACTGCGCAAGACACTTCTTACAAAGCGAGATCGCTTCAAGTTCAAACTCGATAGCGTAAGTTCAATATCAGATGCCATG